ACCACCAGAGTCACCCCAACAGTTCATTCAGCTTAAAGGTGGAGAGTGAAGCAGGAATTGCAGTAGGCCGCCCTGTGCTGGGTCCACGTTGGGTCTTCGCCAAGTCCTTGCCAACTTCTTGCCAAGTTCTTGCCGGGCCTCATTCGGAACGGAACGTAACGGTACAGCGGCTGCACCTGCACTGTTGCCTTCTCCAAGCCGGAACTGCAGTGGGGGAAGGGAGTTCCTTCTCGTGGCAATCGGCAGGCAAATGAGTGAGGGTCTTCAGACGGCCTCTTACACCCCCCATGAGTGGACAAGGAGGGGGTGGGAAGTGAGTGAGTGGCATGTGGTTTTGGAGTCTTGGGGGGGGGGGGGGGTACAGAACCATGACACCAACATAAACCTCCCCTGACACAATTTCATGCCATTTCCTCAAGTCCTGTTAGTGGCCACGAGAATGAAGTGATCAGTACCTGCCCCTCTGCTTCCCCTCATAAGGAAGTTGAAGACTGTAATGAGGTCTACCCTCAGTCACCTCTTCTCCAGGCTGAAGAAACCAAGTGCCCTCAGCCACTCTTCATAAAGCTTCCCCTCCAGACCCTTCACCATCCCTGTGACCCTCCTTTGGATGCTCTCCAATAGATTAATGTCTTTTATATTGCCATGCCTAGAACTGCACACAGCACTCAAGATGAGGACACACCAGTGCAGAGTAGAGCCAGACAATCACCTCCTTTGACAGGATGGTGAAACTGTGCTTGATGCACCCAAGGACACAGTTGGCCCTCCTGGCTGCTGGGACAATGCTGATTCATATTCAACTTGCCATTAACCGGGACCCCCAGGTCCCTTTCTCCGGTGCTGCTTTTCAGCCTCTTGCTGCTCAGTCTGTACACACATACAGGGTTGCCCCATCCCAAGTGCAGAATCCAGAACTTGCCCTTGTTAAATTTCATATGGCTGGCGATTTGTTGAGGTCTCTGTGCAGGGCCTCTCTGCCCTCAAGGGAGTTGACAGTAAACTTGCTTAGTATTCCTTTGAGTCCCGCATCCAAGTTGTTAATGAAGATGTCCTTCCCCTGCTCCAGTATGGGGTCCCACCTTCCAGAGACAGTTCTCCACAGATTTCTTCATCCTGAGTCTTTCCCATGGGCTACAGTTCTTCATTAACTGTTCCAGCATTAGTCCTTTCCACAGGGAGCAATACTTCAAGAACAGCCTGCTCCAACATGGCTCCCCCACAGGGTTGCAAGTCCTACCAAGAAACTTGCTCTAGCCTGGGCTACTGTCTCCATGAGTTCATGGGTCCCTGCCAGGAGCCTGCTCCAGCAAGAGCTTCCCATGGGGTCACAGCCTTCTTTTGAGCATCCACCTGCTCTGGTGTCGGGCTTCTCCACATCTAGGCAATAACTTTTTTTCCCTTCTTAAATATGTTATAGCAGAGGTGTTACTACCATTGCTGATTGGCTCAACCTTGGCCAGCTGTTGATCTGTCTTGCCAAGCAAACCCAATACGCAACTCCAGAGTGCTAGACCATTGTGTCCCACAGACAATCTCTAATGTGATACTACAGCATTAATTTTTGTCTTCATATCATCTGGTTGTTCTCACTTAAGTCAGTTGGTAGTCAGCAGCCATCTTAGGCAAGAAAGAACCTTTTGGTATATCAGAGTCATGCCTGTTCTCCCTGAATAACTGCCACTCTTCCTGTTCATACAGACAGATGTTGCAAGCTGCCTTAATGCAGGACCAACCATTTTGGAATGGTTTTCCTTTTATATAGACCAGAAATATATGAATGTGCCTGTACCAGAAATAGAAAATATTTCTATAGCAATGTTTGTGTTTTACAATTTAATGACTTGGCTGCATTTTTCAGCTAACTGGCATGGGATATAACTCTCTGCTTATGAGCAACATACCGTTATCTTTTAGTGGGTTTCTTAAGTTGTTTTCATGGAAGGTACCTCCTGTCCAATATGGAGCAGGGTATTTACACAGGCAGTCCCTGGTTTCACAGTGGTAATGGCTGCTACAACTGTGTGGGAAAATGAATGAGTGTGCAGTACTGTTCTCCATTCTCAGGAACATCCAAAGGTGCATTTGTGCTGTAACCACATCAACAACTCCAGCATAGTGTAAAGATGCCTGAATTTATTGTTAAAATAAGAATGTCTGTTCCTGCATCCTATCATGGAGCCCAACAGGACTGTGAGATGTGTCCCAGAAGGCAGGTAAATTAGCCTTCAGTAAGCTTCATGCTTTTCTGATGACAATATACCTCAGGTAACTTCTTTAAAGCAAAGTGAAGTTGTCTTTCAGCTGTGCTGAAGTAACTCATATAGCAGTGAGTCCCTTAGAGCACTGAACCTTTTCAGCCACATAGAAGAGATGTGCCTCTAAGCTATGCAAGAGTGTGTGTGAGTCATGCAGAGGTTGTGTTGCCTCATGGTTAGATGTCTTCACCTACTAATGTATTCAAGTTGCTTCCAGTGCGGTTGCTTATGAAAATTAATTTGGAGGGGAGATTCTTTTGATGCTCACTTGTTTGACTTGAGTTCTATGTGAGTCTTAAAGGATGTGTTTTGTAGATAACTCTACAGGGGAGGCAGCATGGAAAGAAGGGCACAAGTGTCTTTGCTTAAAAAATATGGCCAAAAACTTGATTTATCTTAAAACTGCTGAACTTGCCACCAAATCTCTGAAATATTGGGATAATACTCCCTAACACTAAGTTGATATTAAAGAAGGCATCATTTATTTATGCCTGAGATCCAATGGGAGATACTCCTAACCTTATGTGGACACGTGATTCTGAGTGTGTTACTTATATACAGTTGCTACATGCACATTACAATTATCCCATTACCATAAATTCCAAGCCAAGTTCCCAGATTCAGTCCTTTGTTTTGTCTATTACTGTATTTTTGAGACAGATGTCTTCTTATCTCCCAAAAGTCCTTGCTGGAAAGCAGTTTTTGCATGTCTTATTTTTCTGCTAAAAGCTCAGAAGTGCAGTAAAAATTAACTCTTTTGGTATCAATTACCCCCTTTGAAACTTTTCAAATTCCTCAAGGCCATTTGATAATTTTCAATTTGACTTTTATCTATAGTCATATACATTCTCACGACACCCCAATCAGTTATTTTACAAACACAACTAACAACCAGTAATTACTACAATAATTACTACAATTGCAATTATGATAGTTTCCAGTATTCCAGCCAGCCATCCTCTCAGGGACCATCCCCCTATTCCTTGAAGAATTTTATTGAGCCAATTCATTTCAGAGGCCTTTTAGATAGCATTTCTATCTTCAATAACTTGCCACATTTTGTTAAGTTGGTTTTGGGGATCTTCTTTTCCATTTGGGATGTGTACACAACCGTGTCCTCTATCTAATTTTAAATACCCACAAACCCCTTGTTCTTTGGTCAGCAATAGGTCAAAGGCCAGTCTATTTTGTAATGTGAGTCTAGTATTTTCCCATATTTGCTTATTTATAATTTGAAATCCCCTTTTTGTGGCTTCAGATAGTTTCCTTACTTGCCAAGTTATTTATATTATCTAACAACATTCTGTTTTCTAGAGCCATGGCTCCTTGTCTTAGGTTACAATGTAAGATGTAACCAAAACTATGTATTCTATTAACATCTTCATAAGCTGTTAAAACAGGTGGGGCAGTGTTCTTTATCTCCATGACTCATCCCTGATAACTCCCTCTGTGGGGGGATATCTCCATTAATGGGACATCAATATCTCACTGCATGACTCATAAAATTACATCATCTTGTGAGATGCTCTGCCCAGGGGGAGGAAGCAAACATTCCCACCTGGATATAAAATGAGGTTTGGAACAGCACGAGCAGCACTACTTACTGGATTCCCAGGGAACAAGAGCTATCATTGGACCTTCAGGTGAAGACCAGACTCTTCTACAGGATCACTACTTCAACAAAACCACTCCATCAGGACTGCAGCCACCATTTAATCAAACTACTACCACAACCCTGACAAACGATGTCAGGTTGTATCCTGACTATTGGTTTAAGCCAGTGTTTTCTGCCTGTATTTTAATTTTCCTATTAAACTGTAGTTCTGACTTGAAATCTCTCACTGGTTTGCTTTCAAACTAGTACATTCCCGGTAAGATAAAACTCTGTCGAGCCCATTCAAACTGTGGAGAAGCTGAAGGCCCTGTCCATTGATCTTCTGTCTCATTTTACCTTATTCCAGTATTGGGCTTTTATGGGGCTTCTTTTCCAAGTTGGACAAAAGGTTAATAACCCTAAGGTAACTTGCATGGTGGTTGGTTCAAGCATGATGTGAGAAACTACAGATTGAGATATTGTTTATTAAGATATACGTAAAGGTTAGACAATTGTGAGAAACTACAGATTGGGATAGTGTTTATTAAGATATATGTAAAGGTTAGACAATTGTGAGAAACTACAGAGTGGGATATTGTTTATTAAGATATATGTAAAAGTTAGACAACTGTGAGAAAAAAAAATACAGACTGAGGTATTGTCTATTGAGATAAAGTTAGACCACGGAGGTATGCAAACAGCAAACGGACACAGCTGATACAAGATAAGATAACGAGCACTTCAACCGGAGACTGAAGATAAAGATCACAACAACCATTCACACTAGGGGACTGCTTAAACAAACACAAGATAACGGTAGGAATTGACTTGCAAATTCCAGGGAGACAAAAGAAGAAATAGGAATAAAAGGAGACAGTTGGAGCGAAATCGGCGGAGCAGCCAAAGCTTCGGATTTTTGGAAGTTTTTGGGTTTGCTTCCCCAGCGCTGTTACCTTTGTTCATATCCTACTTGCTGTAAATTAATAAAATTCTTAATTGGATTATGTTCCGTTGTGGCGCAAATTTATAACAATTTCTGGTGCCGTGACTCGGATAAGGAAGGGTGGGCTTTTGATCCTCTGGGGAAAGGCGCCCCGCGATATTTTCGCGGCCCCGTGATCAACAGCTTTCCTCAACCTTACCGACGAACCTAAAATCTAGGATAAGGAACAAAGGAAAAAACCGGTAAAATCCCATAAAAATTCTGTGCACGGGAGTCCGGACGAAGACGCAGGACGCGTAAGTATATTGCGAAATTATTCGCAGAGCGAAACTGTTTGCGGCAAAATTGTTCGCGGGTTTGCCGTTCGGGCGGGATTGGGTTTCCTGGAATATAACAGATGAGAGGTTCGATATACTGAACCAAGCAAGTGTGAACTCTTAAGTACTGCGTTTTCCATCTCCCGCGAGGGACTGGGCAAGGAACAAGAGGAGCGAGTGAGTGTGTGTTTGTGGATATTCCAGAAGATGGGGGCGAAGGGCAGCAAGCCTTCGGCTCCCATGGGGGGGGTACCCTCTGTACCTAAGAATACCCCTCTGGCATATATCTTAGCTAATTGGAAGTATTTCCCTGGAACCCTAGGGAAAGATAAGCAAAAAATGATAGAATATTGTACTAAGATATGGGGAGGGAAGAAGATTTCTAAGAATGTTATTTGGCCAGTCTATGGGTCAGAAGAAGATTGGGTAAGACAGCAATTAAACCTCTGGGTTAATAATAAAAAATCCTTTAACCCAGAGGAGAGTCTGTATGCGGAAGTGTGGCTAGAAAAGCCGGGGGCTAGACTTTATTCATTAAAAGAAACAAAAACTAAGCCCCAGAAAAAGAAGGAAGAGTTAGACGAAATCCTTCTAACCCTCCCTCCTTACATTCCTCCTCCTGTTCCCGCAGCCCCTCCAGAGATCCCCAGAGCGCCCACTCCCCCACCAGAATCAGAACAAGGGTCCCCACCCCCTCCTAGACGTGTAACTAGAAGTCAAAGAGGGGCAGCTCAGATGTACCCCCTAAGGGAAGTACCTATGGGAGGACCTCAACCTGTGGTTGGATATATTTCTGTACCCTTAAATTCTGCCGACCTACGAGATTTTAAAAGAACCGAGATGGGAAACTTAATTGAGGACCCATTCGGAGTAGCAGAAAGATTAGATCAATTTTTGGGACCAAACCTTTATACTTGGGATGAGTTGCAATCTATCCTTGGTCAATTATTTACTACCGAGGAAAGAGATATGATTAGACGAGTAGGAATGAGACTGTGGGATGCTCAGCATGCCCAGGGACCTCGAGCAGATATTAAATGGCCACTCCAAAGACCTAATTGGAATAATCAGGATCCGGCTCATAGAACTCATATGCAGGACCTGAGAACTATAGTAATTCAGGGAATTAGGGAAGCAGTACCCCGTGGGCAGAATATCAATAAAGCATTTAATGAAATGCAAAAGAAAGATGAGAGCCCTGCTGAATGGCTGGAACGACTGAGGAAAGCCCTTCAGCTGTACTCTGGAGTAAACCCAAACGATCCTGTAGGACAAGCGCTCCTCAAAACTCAGTTTGTGGCAAAATCATGGGAAGATATCAGAAAGAAGATTGAAAAGTTAGAAAACTGGCAGAATAGAGGGTTGGATGAATTAGTGAGGGAAGCTCAGAAAGCCTACGTAAGGCGGGAAGAAGAGAGCAGCAAGCGACAAGTAAGAATGATGGTAGCAGCAGTCAGAGAGGACCGCAAAGGGCGAACTGGTGAACACAGATCTGCTAGGATGAAACAAGGAAAAGTAGTAATAGAAAAGGAACAGAGATCTTGTTTTTACTGTGGAAAGAAGGGACATATAAAGAAGAATTGCAGAGAAAGGATCAGGGATGAGGAAAATTTGAAAACGGAATAGGAAAGTCAGGGGCTCTATATTTTAGGGGACCGGAGCCACCGTGAGCCCTTGATAAAATTAAAAATAGGTCCCCAGAGGCAAGAGTTCACCTTTTTGGTAGACACTGGGGCTGAGAAATCAACTATTAAGCAAATATCTGAGGGATATGAAGTTTCCCCTGAAAAGGTACAAGTTATTGGGGCAAAAGGGGAACCCTTTAAGGTGAGAAAAATCAAAAATGTGATATTCAAAACTGAAAATAAATTTGGAATGGGTGAACTCTTGCTTGTCCCTGAAGCAGAATTTAATCTGTTAGGACGAGATTTAATTGTTGAACTGCAATTAGAAATTAAAGTAAAAAATCAAGAATTGGCAGTATCCGCTTATCCTTTGACTGTGGATGATCAAAAACAAATTAACCCCAATGTTTGGTACTCTCCGGACACAATTGGTAGACTGGAAATGCCGCCGATTAAAATCCAAATTTCCGAACCCCACGTACCTGTGAGGGTAAGGCAATATCCCATATCCTTAGAAGGACGGAGAGGATTGAAGCCAGAAATTGATCGATTGTTGGCACAAGGAATCTTAGAGCCTTGTATGTCACCTTTTAACACCCCCATTTTGCCTGTAAAAAAACCTAATGGGAAATATCGGCTCGTACATGATCTAAGGGAAATAAACAAAAGAACTGTCACCCGGTTCCCTGTAGTAGCAAATCCATATACATTGCTAAGCAAACTAGGACCACATAATTCCTGGTATAGTGTAATTGATTTAAAGGATGCCTTTTGGGCCTGTCCGCTGGCAGAAGAATGCCGTAATTACTTTGCTTTTGAATGGGAAGACATAGAGACGGGCCGGAGACAGCAATTAAGATGGACCATGCTCCCCCAAGGGTTCACTGAATCCCCAAATCTGTTTGGACAGGCCCTAGAAGAACTCTTAACAGAATATCAGGTACAAACGGGGAATGTGCTGTTACAATATGTAGATGATCTGCTCATAGCGGGGAATAATAAGGAGAATGTAAAGAAAGAAACCATTCGACTTCTAAACTTTCTTGCACAAAAGGGACTACGGGTATCATAAGAAAAGTTACAATTTGTGGAGGAAAAAGTGAAATATCTGGGACATTATCTGTTTAACGGCCAGAAAATATTAGATCCAGAGCGCATTAAAGGAATTCTGGAATTACCTATGCCTGTCACTAAGAGGCAAATTAGGCAGGCATTAGGACTATTTGGGTATTGTAGGCAATGGATAGAGAACTACAGCTCTAAAGTTAAATTCTTATATGAACAATTGCCTAAAGGAAAAATACCCAAGTGGACTCCTCAGGATCAAGAGCAGTTTGCCAGCCTCAAAAGGGAGCTAAGTCAAGCACCAGTTTTAAGTCTCCCAGATTTAAAAAGGCCCTTCCATTTATTTGTTAACATACACGAAGGAACGGCATTCGGAGTGTTAACTCAGAAATGGGCCGGACAAAGGAAACCAGTGGCATACCTATCAAAGCTGTTAGACCCTGTAAGCAGGGGTTGGCCAAGCTGTTTACAAATCATTGTTGCCGCTGCTCTGTTACTTGAGGAAACAAATCGCATCACTTTTAATGGAGAAGTTATCTTATATGCGCCTCATAACATCAGGGGAGTGCTGCAACAAAAGGCAGAAAAATGGCTTACAGATAGCCGATTACTAAAGTATGAGGGAATACTTATAGAATCCCCTAAACTATCTTTAAAAACTATTGGAGCAGTTAACCCCGCTGAATTTTTGTACCCAGGAGAAGGTAATGAACTATTGCACAATTGTTTTCAAACAATTGAACAACAAACACGCATTAGGTCAGACTTAGAAGAAGAAGAACTACAATGTGGAGAAGTATTATTTATAGATGGGTCATCACGAATAGTGGAAGGTAAACGATTGTCTGGATATGCCATCGTTAAGTGGGAAAAAGGAGAATTTAAGATAAGAGAATCAGGCCCCCTGAGTGCCAGCTGGTCAGCACAAGCTTGTGAGCTATATGCATTGTGGAAAGCATTAGTGTCGCTGAAGGGAAAGGATGGAACTATATATACAGACTCACGTTATGCGTTTGGAGTAGTACACACTTTTGGGAAAATATGGGAGGAAAGAGGATTCATTAACTCACAGGGAAAAGAGCTGATACACCAGGAATTAATTCGGCGAGTTCTGGGGGCATTGAAAATGCCAAATAAAATAGCAGTTGTACATATAAAGGGACACCAGAGAGGTACAAGTTATCAAGTTAGGGGAAATAATGCAGCTGATACAGAAGCAAAACGAGTGGCAGGCAATTATAATATAATTCTGACTATGCAACAAGCACCAGTTAGTAAAAATTTGAGTTTTGAGTCTGCAGAAAAAGAAAAACTAGAACAAATGGGAGCTAAAGAACAGGATGGGAAATACATATTGCCAGATGGGAGAGAAGTCTTGCCGAAGGGCATAGCAATTGAAATATTTTCAAAAATACACAGCAAAACACACTGGGGAACTCAGGCATTAGTTGATCATTTCAATCGACAGTATGCCTGTATAAGTGTATATAATATAGCAAAGACAGTCACGGCAGCCTGCGAGACCTGTCAAAAGGTTAATCGAAAAAACATAAAACAGAGACCTCTTGGGGGACGTTCCCCAGCATACAGACCTTTCTCACATATACAAGTAGATTTTACTGAACTACCTAGGGTAGGGCGTTACAAATATTTATTAGTAATGGTGGATCACTTAACACATTATGTCGAGGCTTTTCCTACCTCCAGGGCAACCGCTAACCAAGTCACTAAAGTGTTACTTGAACATATTATACCTCGATATGGAGTACCTGAAGTAATTGACTCGGACAGAGGAACACATTTTGTGTCAAAAATTGTTAAAGATCTAACAGAAAGCTTGGGTATCAAGTGGGAATACCATACACCATGGCATCCACAAAGTTCAGGAAAAGTTGAAAGGATGAATGGAGAAATTAAAACTATTTTGACTAAACTAATGATAGAAACCAAATTATCATGGATTAAATGCCTACCTATGGCACTATTAATTCTCAGAACCAGACCCCGAGCAGATGTAGGAATATCAGCGTTTGAAATGGTGTATGGAATGTCCTACAGAATTGAAAGCCCACAAACAAATGTTTTAATTAGAGACCGTGTGATTAATGAATATGTTTCACAATTAGCAGAACATCGTAACCAGCTTTGGGAACATGGACTGATTGTGCAACGACCCCCGTTGGACTTAAAAATACACAAAGTTAAACCTGGGGATTGGATATTGATTAAAGTGTGGAAGGAAGAAACCTTAAAACCCAATTGGGAGGGACCTTATCTCGTTTTGTTGACAACAGAAACAGCTGTCCGGACTGCTGAGCGTGGATGGACTCATGCCAGCCGCATTAAAGGCCCAGTGACGAGACCCCACTGGAAAGTAATCAGTACTCCAGGTGACACCAAGATAACTCTAAAAAGATAACGAAATGATAAAGACTTTATTTGATTTTTTTGCTGCATTACCTTTTGGTATAAAGTGTGTATTGCTGTTTATATTTGCTATAGTTATTTCCTTTTTTATCTATTATATATGGAAGCGTACAACGTGTGCTGAAGGAAATTGTTAAGCATATGTAGCCACACAATAGTGAATATGAAAGATATGCTGATGTAAATAATGTATGTACTCTAGTTATACGAATTAGTTGTAATGATTTAAACTACAGTTGTTTTCCATTTGCTTGTTTTAGGCATAAGGTATGCCGGGATAAATGGTGGACACGCTGTGAATGTGGATACCCTCAATATTATTATTACCATTCCAATGAACCTGTCCTCTTTGTGGCTGAAATCTTGGTTATAAAGTGTAGAAGGGAAGTACTAACTGTGTCTTGCTTTGCCCCATTAGTTCAAGCTGCAAAGTGGGAAGCCTATGTAAACAGGCAGAAATCCCGAAACAGCTGTTCTCCTGAAGAATTCCCTTGCTGCCGAGAAGATGATGCACCCCGTGACTCGAAGCAACCGAGTCGACGGGCGAGGCAGAAGAGGAACAGACTGTGGAGAAAAAAATCAGAACAATGGGACGCAAAAGCAGGAACAACAGAGCTTCCCCAGGATTGGTAAAAATTTACATAAATTGGTAAAATTGACAGACACCCTTTTTCCTGGTATACCGTTAGTCTTCATATTGATAATAACCCTGGCAGAAGGGGGAAACCCACATGAACCATTCAAGTGGGAACTAATATCTTGGGAAGGAACGAGAACAATAGCCACTTTTAGCAACATAGGTCCACCAGAGTTCATAGTAAAACTTTGTGATTTAGTACCAATACATTGTGGGAAAGGACCTCCATTTTATATATGCCCGGCTTCTGGACCATCTTACTGTAATTATCCCGGACATTATTATTGTGGCTATTGGGGATGTGAAACAATAGCCTCGGGCTGGTCAGTAAAGGCTCCTGATAAATATATAAAAGCAACCTGGACTCCTAATGGATGTGTACCTGAGCAAACAGGTGTAGATCTTACAGGTCTGCGTGACGTGGATTATGTGGCTTCACGAGACAGGGAAGTCTGTACCCGCATCAAATTTCAAGTAATACAGCCCTTAGGAGACAAGTGGTTAGTAGGACTAACATGGGGAATACGTGTCTATGGAGGAATTCCTAAAGACGGGGGAGGGCATTTTCTCATAAGAAAAGTTAAAATACCACATGATTCACTCCCTGTTGGGCCGAATAAAGTATTGAATTCACCCATTTCCCCTACGAAAAAGATAGTCCCTGCAAGTGTTACAACCACTTGTCCAAACCCCTTATCGATAACAAATAGAACAGCTAATGACGTGGTGACTGGTAGGGATTCAGGTGTGCTGAAACCCAAAGACCCTTTATGGGATTTAATGCAAGCCTCTTATCGTGCCCTTAATGAAAGCAAACCAAATTTAACTAAGGAATGCTGGTTATGTTATAATGTTAGACCACCATATTTTGAGGCGATTGGAAAATCAGATAAGATTCAATGGTCTGGAGGTTCAAACCCACGAGAATGCCCATGGAATGACCAAAAAAACCATACGCAGGGAATTACTATTCAATTAGTAACAGGTCAAGGAAAATGTATTGGTACAGTGCCCAAAAATTATCAGCCTTTGTGCAACCAAACGACAATAATCACTACAAAAACTATAAATAAACACAAGAATAGAAAAGACAAATGGGCTATCCCGACACCAGGAGCTAAATGGGTTTGTTCAGACATCGGAGTAACGCCTTGCCTATCCCTAAATCTGTTTGATCAATCTCAGTTCTGCGTACAGGTGATAATTGTTCCTCGTCTAATCTATCACACTTCTGAGGAAGTGTTACGCCACTTTGAAGGAGACCTGAATATACAAAAACGAGAACCAATTACAGTGGTAACCTTAGCTACACTGCTAATAGCGGGGGGAGTCGGAGCAGGTACAGGCATAGCCTCCCTAGTAAAAAGTCAGGAATTACAAAGTTTACAGACGGCTGTAGATGAAGATTTAGCAAAAATAGAACAATCTATCCAAAATTTAGCCACTTCAGTAAAGTCTTTATCGGAAGTAGTGCTGCAAAATAGAAGAGGGTTAGATTTATTATTCCTAAAAGAAGGGGGGTTATGCGTAGCGATAAATGAAGAATGCTGCTCTTTTGCTGACCATACGGGAGTAGTTCAGGACACTATGTCTGAACTCCGAAAAAGGTTAAATCAACGTAGAAAGGATCGGGAGGCGGGTAGGACATGGTATGAAAATTGGTTTAATGTTTCACCTTGGCTAACCACCTTGCTGTCTGCCTTAGCAGGACCGCTTATTATATTGATTCTGGGACTTATATTCGGGCCTTGTATATTACGCTGTATTGTACATGATATTAAAAAACGATTTGACATAGCTAAACTGCTAATTTTAACTACGAGGTCGGGGGAAAAATATAAAAATGCATCTATTAATGAGAAGGAAGATTGTTGCGAATGTGTTATGCCACGAGGGGGCTACGCCTATTGTAATTGTGAAGTATTACCATGTGAGTGTAATGATAAATGTTGGGATTGTGGAAAAAGGTTTATTTACAGTGCCGAGAATGAAAGCAACGTCTAATAAACAATAATAGTATAAAGAGAAGAAGGGGGGAAATTGTGAGAAACTACAGATTGAGATATTGTTTATTAAGATATACGTAAAGGTTAGACAATTGTGAGAAACTACAGATTGGGATAGTGTTTATTAAGATATATGTAAAGGTTAGACAATTGTGAGAAACTACAGAGTGGGATATTGTTTATTAAGATATATGTAAAAGTTAGACAACTGTGAGAAAAAAAAATACAGACTGAGGTATTGTCTATTGAGATAAAGTTAGACCACGGAGGTATGCAAACACCAAACGGACACAGCTGATACTAGATAAGATAACAGGCACTTCAACCGGAGACTGAAGATAAAGACCACAACAACCATTCACACTAGGGGACTGCTTAAACAAACACAAGATAACGGCAGGAATTGACTTGCAAATTCCAGGGAGACAAAAGAAGAAATAGGAATAAAAGGAGACAGTTGGAGCGAAATCGGCGGAGCAGCCAAAGCTTCGGATTTTTGGAAGTTTTTGGGTTTGCTTCCCCAGCGCTGTTACCTTTGTTCATATCCTACTTGCTGTAAATTAATAAAATTCTTAATTGGATTATGTTCCGTTGTGGCGCAAATTTATAACACATGAGGTGAGTGGTCCAGTATCCATCTAAAGTAGCCCAAAGAGTGTAACCTGGGGAAAGAATTTCCAAAGATTTAACACAATCTAAAGGTTTATTACAATTTAGAACTAATTTGGCCATCCATCACTATATTCTTGAGCCAGATGCCTTCTTTTTATCTTCCAACTGTCCTTTCTGGGAAAGCAGTTTTTGAATGCCTTGTTTTTCTGCTATAAGTCCATAGGCATAGTAAAATTTGAATTAACCCTTCTGGTATCAAAATGGCTTAGAGTTATCCTTGCATCCCCATCATCTGGAGTCTGCTACCACAACTGTGCTATCTGCAATAATTTTACTCTGACTTTTTTAAAGTCTTCTCTTTTATCCCTTGGACTCAGAGATAAGCTCAGGAAGAACGTGAATAGTGGCCTCAGAAAACCCTCAATTTCTTTTTGTGTATGAGCTGAAAGCCTCTGCCATGATGATACAGCACCACAGCCAGTCTGGAAGTAGGAAGATTGTCAGAGCCTTGGACAGAAAGGAGGACAAGAGTACCTCAGGCATAAAATTGCCCCAGTGTTAGCTGACATGCCAGGCAATGCTAACTCCTGAAGAACATAACTCCAGAGATAATCTGCTCCTGCTTCAGGGTGTCTTGCAGAAAGGTTTTAACTTGACAGCTGTATAAAAAGAACTACTTCAGAGCAAAGATATCTATCTTGCAACATGTAGCTGATCCTGCAGAGGTGATTTGTATGGCAGAGAGGTGCTGAACCTTAAAAAGACCATGGCCAGATGATAACACAGGAGGAACTTGTCATAACTGAGTTTGAACACTGAGACCAAATTGTGCTGCATAGATATAATAAGCAAAATCCTCCTCTCTGCAGAATATTACTGGGAAGATGCTAGTTAGTCAGTTGCTGTTCTAAATGTATGAGTATTGTGTATCTAAGCTTAATGTGACATCTAGGCACCTCCATTCTGTAGGTGGATCTTACTGTACATGCTACCAGTACCTGCTGAGGATAGAGCTGTGTTAAAGCAGATATGAATACAGCAAGTTATATATGTGAACAATGCCAATCACTTGTTTAAAATTTTTAAAAGTTTAATAGTAATAAAATAGTTATAAAAAACAGTAATAAAAATTAGACCAATAAGAATTTGGACAATCAGATTTAGGACAATAAAGGACAATAAAAAGCAAAGAATTACAGAGGCCCAGATGCTTTCCTCAAGAAAGCATGTCCACTAACAAAGGAATAACCCTTAAAAGCCATAGCCCGTTGTATATTCATATATCTCATACATGATGCAAATATTCCTCTCAAAACTGGGAATTTTTCTGTTTTCTGTCAATTCTCCCCCTCATTCTGTAAATCAGTCCTTTCGGCTCTGGGGTGTCTGGAAGAAGTCTGCACGGTCCGATAAAGAGGCCATAAATCCTTGTCTTGAGAATTTTTTTGGGTGTCCTGTTGCTGTTATCTCTATGTGAATAATTTATTGGTTATCCATTCCTTGTGCAGGTCACGAAAAGGTATCTTACATCACACAACTTCTATTTTAATATTATGCTATAACCTAAAACTATATTTACCACACTACTTACAAAATATTAATACAACATTACAAAAAAAGGATTAATACAACATTACTTTCAAAAATAACACATATAGTATTCATTTTAACATTTGTGAAGAGCCAATCATATAATATGCATTTTTCACATATGGGACATAGTT